AGTCACACCTGTGGGAAAGCAGACTGGAGCCTGGTCTAAGGGACTAGGCGTTCCCCTTGACTCTGCGCTTAATTCATCTTACATGGTTTCCTTTATCATCAAGCCACTGAGACCACTGTCAACAAGGTCTGCAACATTGTACTGTCTGTGTCTGGTAGAGTAGGATACTGAATCCATATTTCAGTTTGAGCAGAAATGACCTTTATAATATATCTGTAGTGTGCCCCCAACCTACAGAATTCCTCCTCCAGCTTGGAGAAAACTCATGTGGTTGTCTTGATCCAGTCTTCTGGAAACAACTACTATAACCTGTTGGTATGGGAGCACACAGCAATGTCTGTCGAGCCTTGAAATGAAAGATACGCCTCATTCACATGGTCATAGGTATCTGCCAAGCAAAGACAGGAATTAATCCTTGTCATTGGTTTTTTTTTTTGACCATGCAGTCAAGACCATGAGTCTTGACCAGTCTCAAGACTCAGACTCAGTCTCAGACTGAACCCAGGGCCTCGGCAGTGAAATCTCAAAGTCCTAACCCTTAGACCACCAGGGAGTTCTCATTCCTAGTTGTCGTTTGTTTTTTGAATGTAGTTAGTTAGTTACTGTTAGTCGCTCAATCGTGAGCCTCCTTGTGACCCATGGACTGTAGCCCACCAGGCTCCTCTGCCCATGGGATTCTCCAGGCAAGAATGCTGGAGTGGGTAGCCATTCCCTTCTCCAGGGGATCTTCCCAACCCAGGGTCGAACCCAGCTCTCCCACGTTGCAGGCAGATTTTTACCGACTGAGCCACCAGGGAATGCCTTTTAGAGTTCGCTGTCCCTCAATCTAATGAGTAGAACTTCTGTGTCATCTCATCAAGCACTGCTAGACTTGATCTCTGGAAAACCAGTGGACTCCATGTCTTCTTGTGCTGACATTTGTTGACAGAGTATCTTGGAAAGGCCCTTTCTATGGAGAAACTGATAAGATCAGAGCACTGCACAGGCTTCTGTGAAGATTGCTGGCAGTGCATCTGAAGCCATTCCGTGTTGATGCAGAGATTAGAGTTATGCTGAAGCCTGAAGCTTTGTCTCTTGACCCAAGCTGCAGATCCCAGCTGTGTTGCCAAGCATCTGTTTTAGGGGCTCAATCTGAGCAGGAAGTACTATTGTTTACCTTTTTTGGCCAGAAGAGTTTTTTGCCATTGGTTGGTTGCTTTTTACAGGTTTCCAGAAGATGCTTTCAAAATAGGCTTTACCACCATCAGCACCCAGCGAGCGAAAGCCAGGAGTTGGCTTCACTACAGGGCAGTTATTCATCTCACTGAAAACTAAAAGGAAGTTATATTACCACAAAGTTCAGTTACAGTGACCCCTCTTAAAACACTGGGAGACACATAGGCGGTCCTGGACTTGATGGGACTCTTCTGCGGGACTCCTTCCCTGCCTTCCCCGGCACTGATCTGCAGACCAGCTCGGTCAGGGCAGGTGGCTTCTTCAGGGTCCCTCCAGCAGTGAGCGTTTTCTTCCTCTTTTGCAACGTGATCAACAGCCTGCTCAAAACTAAGATCTTGTTTGCCTGAAATATTTGTTGTTTGAAACATTGTAAGGCACTTCTTGAATTTTATTGTTGTAAGCATCTATTGGCACATACCATGTGATAGAAGTACCATAGCTTTAGTTAATCATGGCAGTTATAAAAGTAAAAACTGAAGACTTGTGAGCATCAGCATACTTTTTTCCCCTGACAGTTTCCTGATAGATTAAAAATAATGCTAATGGCAGGATATGTCTTTAACTCACTGGAAAACTTCTGGATATCATCACGTGGCAAGCAGGATGACTGTCTATTGTTTGACCATGCCGTGTATAACGTGGCCTTAAGGATGATTTTCTATTATTTGCCCACCTACATTAGCATCCGATGCTATCTCACTTTTATTTGAAGTGAAATATGACATTGTTTAAAGGAGCAGAAAAAAAAATCAAAGAAAAATTATTTGCAAATTCACAGTGTACCTCAAGGGAACCTCCTAGTGGTACAAAATCTTAACACCATTTACTTTCCGATTTGGCTTAGCGAATAAGGACATTTTGCTTAGATGAGATGGTGTGACTGTATTTTTAAATATTTAAAAGATTATTTTAGAGAAGATGAATATCTGTTTTGTAAGTCCAGAAGGTATAAGAACTAACTGATGAGTATTGTAGAAAGGTCTGTTTCCACTCAAGGTAAGGCACATTTTTGAATATTTAGATCCCCTCATCCACAAAATGGGCCACTTTACAAAACTCCCTCCACTTGGAAGTATAAGTACTGTGTCTGCCACCATGTGAACAGCTGGCCTGTACTGTGACTTCTCTTTAACATCTGGTTCCTCATTTCTTTGGCTGTGAGGTCATTCAGTTTAGGAGGTGCTGTGGTGCTGCTCGGAGTGGGGTCTCAGGAGTTGGGCCAGAGGGGCGGCTGTGACCTTGAGCCAGGGCCCAGTTCTCCGTGCTCCATTTCCTCACCTGTAGAGTGGGGGTCACCACCTCACCCCATCAGGGTGCTGTAGGGATGTCAGGAGTTTGTCTCTGAAGTGCAGATCCTCTAAAGTGGGGGTCACCCCCTCTCCCCGTCGTGGGGGTGCTGCAGGGGTCTCAGAGTTTGTCTCTGAAGTGCAGTCCTCAGCAGGTAGGTGCTCACACCCTGCGGTCTGTGTGCCGTGCTGGCAGCACCTGGGCTGAAGGACACGCGTGAGCACTGGGAGGGAATTCATGGCCATCTTCCCCTAATGTTGTAGAAAGATTTTCTTTGTTGGAGAAGACAGACAGGTAGCAATTTCTAAGGACCATAACAGCCTGGAGACAGGAATCTCAGAACAGAAATTTAGGGCAGGTGCCTTGTGTGTGTAGGGGAACACAAAAACCTTGTACTTGTAGAGGACTTGATTTTCTTCCAGATTTCTATAGAACCTTATTCCATGGAAGGTATAGTAAGTACTCTTCATTGGAATATTTTCCAGCTTCATTTCACTGCTGCTGAATAGATTGTTGGGTTCTAACAGTCCTTTGACATTTTTTTTTTGGTTCACTTCTGCCTTACTAAACTCTCAATCTGTAATCATTTTCTCTTCGATACAAGACACAACCCATTTGTCAACTTTTTCTACAGTCCAGAGTATGTTCAGTATGTTTATGGTAGAGGTTTTATTAAAATCCACACCATCCCATTTCTAGTACTCATGAAGAATGTCTCTTTTTAAAAACAAATGACTAATTGGGTTAGGGTGAGGTTAATTGTGTAGTCCTTGGAGTCACACTGCTTTCATCTGAATGAGCTCTGCCACTTTTTACCCACATATTCTGGCCACTTCCTTTCGGTAATTCCATTTTGCACTTCCCTCTGCAGAATGGAAGTACTACAATACCAACCTCACTGGCTCTTTGAGAAGCGAGCGAGTCACTGTGTGGAACGTGTTTAGCACAGAGCCTGCACGCCTAGTGCTTAGTGCGTTTTCCCTTCCTTCTCAGGAACGTGCCCCCATTCTCTGTCCACTGTATATCATGAGTCTGCGCTCATTTACTTCCTCGAGTCCTGAACCGAATAACGTCCACAGCGTAGGAGCCCATCCCTTTGCTGTTGCTGTTCAGTCGCTCAGTCGTGTCCGACTCTTTGCGACCCCATGGATGGCAGCACGCCAGGCCTCCCTGTCCATCACGAACTCCCAGAGCTGGCTCAAACTCATGTCCGTTGAGTCGGTGATGCCATCTAACCATCTCATCCTCTGTCATCCCCTTCTCCTCCTGCCTTCAATCTTTCCCAGCATCAGGGTCTTTTTCAGTGAATTGACTCTTAAGCATCAGGTGGCCAAAGCATTGGAGCCTCAATTTCAGCATCACTCCTTCCAATGAATATTTAGGCCCTTCCCTTAAAACTGCCTTATTTGTGAGTAGGTTAGAATAGGATTATATGCTAAACACTGTTGAAGTGTGGGCAGAGTCTGAGGAAGCATGGGTCTGGATCAGACCTCAGACCAGCTCCAGAATGGTCTTGATGAAAGCACTTCAGAAGTGGGACTGGTCTCAACCATCCCAGGAGATGTTTGCATTTTGAGAAGGGAAGAGACTTTATACCTTGTAGGGGTGAACTGGGGACCTACTCCTTCGCTTTATCAGTTTTTTTTGTCTGCCTTCCCCCTCCTCCTTCCTCCTGCCTCTTCCTGGCCTTCCCTGCTTCTCTAGATAAATAAGCACAGGTGCCTGCTCTGGGCACAGTATCCAGTGTGGCCGCAATGCCTCCACATAGAGCGGAGTGGCCCTGTCCACGGGATTTTCCCAGCTGAGCCCATAGTCAGGGAGCATGTGACAGGGTTCACCTTCTACCTTGTGAGCTGCTGTCCAGAGCTGTGAGGGGCTCTGTTGGTATTGCTTGCTATTCAGAGTCTTTTACAGGCTTCCCTGGCGGCGCAGGCAGTAAAGAATCTGCCTGCAGTGCAGGAAAGAGGGACCCAGGCTCGATCCCTGGGTCAGGAATCTGAAGATCTCTTTTGTTTGTACAAGGTCAGCTTATGTCGCTTTAGACTTTTTAAGATAAGTATTAGAGGAGTACTTTGTGTATGAGATTTTTTTTTTCAATTCTCGTTAAGAACTATTTTTATTTATTTACAGCAGTAGCAAAGCCTAGAGGTTTTATGTGATGTCTAAAACGTCCTGGTTGTTCAGAATTGGACTGTGGCTAATGGACCGTAATAACAGTAGTTTCCGTTAGCTAAACATACTGAGGCAGGAATAACAGTGAAGGGGTGAAAGCGTCCCTTCGTCAGCAGTGCTGAGATACCTGCCTCTGAGGGTGAGACCTAGAGAGGTGTCTGGCATAAATGTGAAGAAATATATGAAAGAACTGTTGGAAACAGTGCTGGGGTGCTTTTTTGTTCAGAGAGAGTTTTTGTGCACGTTAACCTTCCATCTGCATCAGTTACCGCTCTGCCTGGGCAGCCTTATAATCACTCTTTTGATGTTTTTCTTTTCATTTTCAGCTTACGGAAAGGTGTTTCTCGTGCGTAAAGTGAGTGGCCACGATGCTGGAAAGCTGTATGCCATGAAGGTCCTGAAGAAGGCCGCCCTCGTCCAGAAGGCCAAGAGCACGGAGCACGCGAGGGCGGAGCGGCAGGTCCTGGAGCAGGTGCGGCAGTCGCCCTTCCTGGTGACGCTGCACTACGCCTTCCAGACAGAGGCCAAGCTCCACCTCATCCTAGGTGAGTCGCTTCCCGGCCAATGCCAGCTCGCCACGCACACGTAGGCCTGGAGCTGTGACCTCCCTAAAGGGCGGCACGCTTCAGACTGAGAAGAAGTGGAGTCTTGGGACTTCCTGGTGGTCCAGTGGTTAAGACTTTGCCTTCCAAACAGGGGGTGAGGGTGTGACCCCTAGTCGGGGAACTGAGACCCCACATGCCTCACGGCCAAAAAACAAGAACGTGAGCAACAGAGGCGACATGTTGACACATTCAACAAAAACTTTAAAAATGGTCCACATCAAAACCAAAAATCTTGACAAACACAAAAGAAGATGTGAAACCTTTTAACCTCCACTCTTCTCTCCATGGTGGTGCTTCCTTGAACACCGGAGTTGCTCTGGATCTGGGACCTCCCGGCCTGAAGGGATTTGTGTGCTTCGTCTTCACACTCCTCTTTAATCTTGAGCACAGGAGTTGTTTGGGTGGCTGCTTCCCTGGGTGGCAGATTCCATTCAAATGTGAGGAGCTGGATGGGAAAGTAGGCCGCAGTTCTCAGGAACGCACAGGTTTGGGCCAACAAGGGTATATTTATGGAAATCAGTAATTAGGGAAAAGAAAAGATTTTTCTTAGGGATGGTTTGCTTTTCTAGTGAAAAGCCTGGTTTTAAGGGAGATCCCCAAGAGTCAGTCAGTACTCTGCTCACTCCCGTCCCCACCCACAGACATTGTAGAATCCTTTTCTTCATGGACTGCAGCCCGCCAGACTCCTCTGACCATAGAACTTTCCAGGCAAGGATATTGGAGCGGGTTGCCATTCCCTTCTCCAGGGGATCTTCCTGACCAGCGACCAAACCCAGGTCTCCTGCATTGCAGGCAGATTCTTTACCATCTGAGCCGCCAGGGAAGCCCTATCAAATAGAGTTGGACTACTGTGAGTATGTGGACTTCAGAAATGTCCTCTGCGCAGATTTGAAATCTGGCCAGATTTCTTTTCAGAAAAGTTGTATGGTTCTGTCTTCCTGCTGGAAGTAAATGGCAGTACTTCTAGTGTTATTCCCCTCCATCATAGAATGTATCTTCTGCTACAGTTTTAGTCCCATCCTTGTGAGGACTTGCACTTATGTATTATAATACCCTGGTATTGATCTCTTGTGAGGATTAGATGAGGTAGACTTTCACACACGGTGCCCTGTGAGCATTAGCTTGTTCTCTCGTACCTTTGGTGTGCTGGCCTTCTGCTCCGTGTTGTCCTAGTTATCACTAACTCCCACGCAGCTCTGCCAGAGGCCTCTCATCAGAGGTGGTGAGGTTCTGGAAGCTGCATTTCCTGCAGTCACATATCTTGTATAAGCTTGAGAATAAAGATTGGAACTCCGATCTGAATAATTAGAAGTCTGTCCAACAGTGCCCCTTGTTTTCTCTGATTATTAGTGGTACAAACAGACTTTTTAATATGTATCTGGCAACTTTATCAAATGCTCTAATTTTGAAAGTTATACTTTTATTAATGCTGCCTAAAATTGCATTCACTTTTTGAGGCCCAGTTTGCAGTGCTTAGCATCCTCTAACCATCCCAGATCTTCCATACACGTAGGCCACAGTCTCCCTGTCTGGTCAGGGTCCCGACTCAAATGACCATCTGCCTGGTGTCTCAGGCCTTCCTTCTCCTCCTGTGTGTATCTGTTCAGCTTTGCTGTTTACTGATTTCTAAATACAGTTCCTTCTTTATTTTTCCCCAGTAGCGTGTAGTGGACAGTGCATTGTAATACAATGGTTTCAACATTTTTAGCAGTGGAACCCTTCCCTCAAGTGCACACACAAACCTTTAATTGGAAAACAGATAGAAATAAGGAGCGGTGCTTGAATCTGAGTTTCAGGGCACCAAACCCTACAGTTTATTTCTGGTCCTCCCCCAATCACAATTGCCATGGAACCTCAGGGAGTCTAGAAAGACTTGCTATAAATGAATCTCTTGTTCAGCGAACCAGATTTTACAATAAACCGGCTCATGACAGTTAAATCTGACGCCTGAGCTTGTACGAGCAACGCGAGCCTGGAGCGGGAGAGCCAGACTCCTGGGCTCTGGGCCCGCTGCTCTCCCTGTCCCTTTCCTCTGTCCCTGACCGTACTATGCTCCTTCTGTCTAAGTTGCTTATTGTAAATAGTGCAGTTTTTATAAATAATACTTTTAACCTCAAAGTAGATAAATGGAATATTTGCATTTTGATTAAAAACAGTCCTTGATAACATTGCTCTTTTTGTTGTTGCTTCTTTGTTACTTTTGCTCTTTGTCACTGGCCCACAAATAAATAAATACAACCCAAAATGAGAAAACCCATCTCTTCTGGCAGCTCAAGAGTAGAATGTAGACTGGACAGTGGACTTGCTCTCCCGTAGGTGAGGCAGGCAGTGCGTTTAGGAAGCCTGCCCTCTGCCTCCTCTCCCCGCAGATGCCTTTACTCTCGTCCTCTTTGTGCATGCTTGTAGTTGCTAGTTGACTTTAAAGACAACACTTTTCAGAAATCTTGAACGGGACCTTATTAAACATTTTTTTTGGTTTGTTTTTCTGGTTCTGTTACTTGTTTGTGGAGTGCTTGGAACGCATGCTAGGTCAGTCCTCCAAATACTGTCTCATTCGGCCAGGGCCGTCATGACAAAATGTAAGACTGGGTGGCTTACTAAGCAGAAATTACTTCTTTCTCAGTTCCAGTGCTGGACGTCCAGCACCAGGGCGCCAGCGGGAGTGGTCTGCTGCATGGCGTGAGGGTCTGGCCCAGCCTCACCCCCGCTCGCCGAGCCCCTTACCGCCTCTGCACATGGCTCACCCCCTGCAGCCACACCTCTAGTGTTGCTTTTTGTGTTCGAATTTTCTCTCCCTCTAAGGACGCAAATCGGATTGGATTAGCACTTACCCTATGGGTTCATTTTAATGATTTAATTACCTCCTTAAAGGCCCTGACTGCCAATACAGTCACATTCTGAGGTACTGGGGATAAGACTTCAATACGCGAATTTGGGGGAGACAGTTTCAGCCCGCAACTGTATTTAAAGGTGTATTGATTAACTTTATCTAGCTTTTGTGTACTGTTAGAGATTAATAGCAAGATTTCGCATGTCAAGCAAGCTTTTCAGGGATCCAGCTGGCTGACCTTTGTTCTGATAAATAAACAAACATTGTAGACCATTTAAAAAACTTCATTGTTACTACAGAAGCAGATATATGCATGTAGGAACTGTAGCAAAACAAAAACAAGAAAACATTTTCAGGACCCAGAGTTTACTTCATTATACATACCTCTCTCTGTTATTACCTTAGTATATTCTTCTAGATCTTTTTGTCTGTGTGTCTGCATGCCTGTATATTTTATTAAGATGAAGTTGTTCTGGAAAATCCCATGGATGGAGGAGCCTGGTGGGCTGCAGTCCATGGGGTCGCTAAGAGTCGGACATGACTGAGCGACTTTACTTTCACTTTCCACTTTCATGCATTGGAAAAGGAAATGGCAACCCACTCCAGTGCTGTTGGCCTGGAGAATCCCAGGGACGGGGGAGCCTGGTGGGCTGCCGTCCATGGGGTCGCTAAGAGTCGGACACGACTGAGTGACTTCACTTTCACTTTTCACTTTCATGCATTGGAGAAGGAAATGGCAACCCACTCCAGTGTTCTTGCCTGGAGAATCCCAGGGACAGGGGAGCCTGGTGGGCTGCCGTCTATGGGGTTGCACAGAGTCGGACACGACTGAAGCGACTTAGCAGCAGCAGCAGTCCTGTACAAAGGATTGATAACCAGCTTTTTTTTTTATGGATATATTAATGATGTCTATCTTTCCTGGTTAATAAATTTTCATTTCACTTACTATCCGGTAACACTCATTGTTTATTGCCGCATAAGTCTGAAATTTTGTTGCTTAAACAATAACGTGTTCTCTTGTGAGCTGTGGGTTGGCTGGACTTGCTCATGTGGTAGAGAGTGGAGGGCTGGCTGGGCTTGAGGGCTGAGCTGGTATCATTCCCGTTGGTGCTGCTGAGACCCTCTCCTCCTTTCCACGTGGCTCTCACCCGCCAGCTAAGCAGATCAGCTTCATCCCGTCGTGGCCGCCTCGGGGCAGCTCATGCAGACAGCCAGGAGGGCGGAGGGAGGACTCCGAGGCGCTCTGAGGCTGGGCCCTGGAGCTCACACGGCCTCACTTCCAGCACAGAACCAGCCCGGGTCTAATGAGTGGGGAAGCAGACTCGACTTCTTGTCGTGTCTTTTTTTAAATAATATTTTCTTACACACATATATATAATTGACATACAACATTATATATTATAATTGGCATACAATATTACTGTAAATTAACTTCAGATGTACAACATAATGATTTGATATTTGTATGTATTGCAGAACAGTCACTGCAATAAGTCTGGTTAACACTCATTACCACCCTTAGTTATAGAATTATTTGTTGTTGTTGTGATGAGAACTTTGAAGGTTTACTCTTTTAAGAACTTTCAAGTATGCAATCCAGTGTTATTAACTACAGCCGCTGGTGCTGCATGTTACACTCCCATAACTGATTTACTTTACGAATGGAGGTTTGCTCCTGTGGCTGCCTTCACCCGTTTCACCCACGTTCCAAGCTCCCACCGCTGGTAGCTGTCAGTCTGCTCTTTCTTTGTTTCTTCATTTTAGATTCCGCATATAAGTGAGATCATATGACATTTGTCTTTCTGTTTGCCTTATTTCACTTAGCGTAATGCCCTCAAGATTCATCCATGATGTTGTAAATGGCAAGATTTCATCTTTATGGCCATATGATATTCCTTTTAACATATGTATAGAAATACACACAGACATGCACACACACACAGACTGCATTTTCTCTGCTTGGTCATTCAGTCATTAATGGGCACTTAGGGTGTGTCTGTATCTCCCGTTACAAATAACGCTGCGGTGAGCATGAGGGTGCACATGTCTTTTCAAGTTAGTGCTTTTGTTTTCTTCAGATGAACACTCAGAAGCGGGGTTGCAGGATCAT